TTCTGTTTACCTGCATCCAGTGAGTATCTTCAGAGTTATGTTTAAAGGCAGAAATGTCTACCGTTTGTAACTATAATACTTAATGCAGAGTTGGCAGGCTATACTCTTTGGAAACTTCTAGTGATTTTTTTCTGAACTGCAAACAGCGCTGAATTGGGGAATGTCACTCATTCTAAGGCTGTGTTACACATATACTTGCCTAATATCCAAGAGGCAAAACCAAGGTAATGGGTAGAATTTATGCTGTATAAATATTTCGCATAGCAGCACATCTGATGGAACAATGTGTTGCAGTCGTGTTCTGGCATCTTCTTATGGAGGATTCTTGGAGAAATGAGCATGTGGGGTGAAATTCTCCAGAAATAAGGCATCACAGTTTTGGGGAAGAGAGATCTGAGAACAGGGGGAAATATAAATGATATTGTAAGATTTTCCATATCTTATATTTTTTTTCTCCATTGCTATATATTTTCTGATACTTGTAAATAAAGTTCTCCATTCTAGATAATTTTTCCTCTGACGTTACTTAAAGAGGGGAGGGAGTGCGTTGAAAACCCATTTCTGGAATCAAAAAATTTAGTGGCTAGAATAATAAATTATTCAGATCCTATAATTTCTTCCACAATTAATTATACATTATTAAATATAACTTGCTATTGGATTTGGGGCTTCTTGGATTTCTTTTTTCTTTGCACCTCCAGACGAACACATCTATCCATGTCCTGTTTTGTTTTGCTCTTTCTGAGGGGGGGTGGGGGTGGAGCTAAAAACAAGCAATTTAATGGGATTCCATCTGTTCTTCTGCATCAGGAGAAACCCTGATACTGTAGTAGGCTTTGCTAACCTGATTTTCAATTCCTGCCAAAGAATTTCTACCGCTGTGCCTGCCTTGCTGCTGGTTCTGTCTTGCAACTCGTGGAGAAAGTGTGGTCTGGAGAACTCCGTAATGGTCTAGCTGTGGTCAGGTAAGGTGCAAATAGATTATTATTTTCATTTTTGCTTGACTCAAAACAGTAATGCAGTGCCCTTTGCCATGCCTGTCAGATGGTATATTTACCATTTGATAGCTCCCTTGGCAGTGAGGGAAGGGGCACATTCTCACAGTGATTTGTGTACACAACAAGCCCAGAAACATAACTTGTATTTGTTATCTTCTTATTTCTTGCCCACTAGCCAGTAGAGAAGAGATTTCCCTTATCTATAAAACAGACTTTCTAATCCGCTGCCTTCCAGATGTGTTGGATTTAACTCTCAGAATCTTGTTGACCATACTGGCTAGGCCATTCTGGGAACCAGTTCACATCCAGAGGGCCTCACGTGGTGAAGGTTGCATTAAATAGCAACAGGGTAAAACTACAGTAAAGCAGATGGAAGAGAAAAATGAGGGCAATATTCCTAGCGGATAACCCAGTTTAGGTAGTCTTTGACTTACAGCCGGTCATTTAACAACCCTTTATCGTCACCACAGCATCAGAATGTAAAGCACTTCTAAACGTTGTAAAATATTGTGTTTCTGCCCCTCCGGTCACATAATCCCATTTCAGACACTTGGTAACATATTTACGTTTATGAGTGATTGTTAAGTGCTTTGCGATCATGTAATTATCATTTGCAATGTTCTGTGCTTGTTTGTCCAGAAAGTCAGCAGGGAAGCTGACAGAGAAGGTTGCAAGCAGAGCAGGTATTGGATTTGAGGTTCATTCCCCTGGCAAGCCGAGGGATTTCCCCTTCCATGCAGGAGAGGGGAAATCCTCCTGTATGCTTGAGGAATGGACCTCAAATCTGGTGAAAATGCTGGTGAATGCCAGCATTCTAAAAACCTCACAGCACTGGCGTTCGCAAGCATTTTCCCCTTTGGAGGGGATGCTTAATGACCGCAGCAGGGAGTAATGGAATTGTGGTCATTAAGCAAAGTGGTTATGTGGCATCTCAATGACCACTTCAGTCAACAGCCAAGATTCTGGGCCCAGTTGTGGTTGTAAATGGAGGAATATTTGTAAAGGCAGGATTGTCAATGTCTTGACTTTGTGTGTATACATGTGCTTGTTTATGGAGGATGGACATGATAGTCCAGCCGAACCAGAAAGAAAATACGTGATGGAATTCACCCATCTTAGAATAACAACCCAAAGTATTGTGTTACTGTCTTCCTCTCTTAATAAAATGTGAGAAGATGTGAGGAGAATAATGATTGAATCAAAAAGAAGTCATACCTTAATCTCTATAATTTTTTCATATGAGAACATTTTCACTTACACAGTATTGTAAGAACCTTATATGAAAGTAGCCAGAGTGACTCCTCACAATTTTTGAACTTTATGTCCTTAAAAACGTATGGGAATGATGGCCCAAGCATGCTTTCTTTAGCATTCAGAGCAAAAGGTACAAAATTGATAATTGTATGTGCACTGTAGTCACATTAACATTTAGGCATGCTTTTCTTTTTTCTTCGATGGCTGGGCTATGATTATCTAATTCTAAATTGAGCCACTGTATCTTTTGGGTTTCAGGCCTCCAGGACACCATGCTCACCGCAGCAAGATGAATGGCTACTGCATGTTCAACAACATAGGCATTGCAGCACAATATGCCCGACAGAAATTGGGGGTGGAGCGGTGAGTAGCTATGAAGAGGAGAGATAACAGTTAAGGCTGGTTGTTGGACAGTTTCAGTGGTGGGTTGCTCCCAGTTCGGTCCGGTTCTTGCAAACCAGTAGTAATGGTGGCAGGAGGCTCCGCCCATCCGTCCGGACATCATCATGAACGATCTGTGCATATGCAGAAGCTTCTGTGCATGTGTAGAAGCGTGTGCGAGCGAGCAAAGCAAGCGCGCGCATGCGTGCTCCCATTGCGAACCAGTAGCAGAGGTAAGTAGAACCCACCTCTGGACAATTTGCCATAAGCATGAGCCAATGTTCTTCCATTCCTCTACATTATGTGGATTGATTGATTGAGGATAAGCCAAGATGCTGAATAAATACAAAGTGTTAGATATTTGAACAACTAGTCATAGTCATTCCACACACCTCAATTTTTGGAGGATGTGTCTCAATACCTAGTTACAATCCATCTTGGTCTTCCATTGAACATTTACTAAACTATCATTTCTATTCTGTTACTGCCCCGCCTAGAACTTAAAATAGTGAAATCCATGCCTATATCATTGGTCATGACAGTATCACTGCTTTTATAAGGAATCCTAGGAATAGTCGTTTAATGAGAAAGCGGAGATGTCCCCCAACCACCGTAGGACTACAGTTCCCATGACTCCTTGAAGAGATGCTAGCAACCGGATTGATGCTAGCATATTTTTTCAGATGCTGCCTTTCATGTACTTCCTTTTTCGTTCATTACATTTGCATTTCTTTCTCTTCCAGGGTGCTTATCGTTGACTGGGATGTGCACCACGGGCAAGGCCTTCAATACCTCTTTGAGGAGAATCCCAGGTGCCCAATCAAGGGATGAGCTTTATTTAACTGGAGAACTTGGGACATTCTATAGTGGATGAGGAGAGCTGGCAAAAGCAGAGCAAATCAGTTTGGGGTTAAATACAGGCTGCACCCAGATTGGGTTCAGAGGGCTGGGGCTTGGCTAGTGGCTTTGTTTCTCTTCACTGCTGAATTTGCCGTGACTGCTTTTCCTAGCGTCCTTTATTTCTCCATCCATCGCTACGAAGGAGGGAATTTCTGGCCCCACCTTCCAGAATCTGACAGTCACGCAGTGGGCAGAGGTCGGGGAGAGGGATACAACATCAACATGCCCTGGAACCAGGTAGGGAAGAGTAGGGACTCTTCCCAGGTGGTAGGGACACAGTAGGCTGTGATTGCCGGGAGTGATAATTTAGCAGTTCTCCATTCTGGCTAAAGTTGCTTGCATGTTGCCCTGTTTTTCTTGAGAGCAGTTGCAAATAGAGCCATTTGGCTAGCTATCGAATATGGTTTCAGTATCCCAAATGACTCTCCTGGGTGCCGGGGCAAAAAATGGGGGAGCTGAACATCTTTTACAAATAGACAGATCCCTAACTTTGCTAGTATATATAGTAGCCTAGTTACAAAAGGGAATCAAAGTTGCATGTTGATCTACATTCATATTCTGATGTAGCTTTTTTAGGCTGTGAGGTAGGCTTCAGATGAGAAAAGGCTCCCCACTCTCTGCAGTTGCTTGGAAATGGCCTTTTCCCTTTGCAGTAGCCACTGGTATGAGCACCTGTTAGTATAGGCTTCCAGTGCTACTCAGCTTTTTATAGACCTAATAAACCAAATTCACATATCATTCCGAACCTTGTTCTTGAATAAATCTTGGTTGGGTTCACACTGAATAGTAAACCGTCAAGCTTTCATTCACAAATACAGTGTGCTTTTTCATTGTGGTAAACCAACTTCCGAACACTTATATTGTTGGGGTTTAGTGTAGTTCCAGGGTGTCAAACTCGCGGCCCGTGGGCTGGATGCATCATGCGCTGGCCACGCCCACCCCATTTTTAGCGAAGGGGGGGAAATCACAATACGACAATGTGACGATGCAAATTTGACACACCTACCCCAGTGTAGTTCATGAATCCATCTACTGTGTTTTAGAATCTAGAAATGAGCTCAGATTCAGAAATCTATTACAAACCATGACTACAGATTACAGCTTGGTTTCTTTCTTAAGGTGGATTTACACATCACACTATGTCAAAACAAACAAGCAGAGGTTTTGGATCTGATTTCTTTTAGCGTACGTAATATCAGATCCATCAACGTTTATGACCTTCCTTACTGTTCCTATGTTACATCAACAATAGCTGCTATCTTAGATAGAGTGACCATGCTGTATGTGTGCATATAAAGATATTTCTTGGGGATTTGCTTTAAACTCCTTTGATGTTTTTTCTATCGCTTTAGACAGGAATGAGGGATGCTGACTACCTCTCTGCCTTTTTACATGTCCTACTACCGGTGGCCTTAGAGGTAAGCAATGAGGCATATAGCATTTTGAAAGTATGGACAATCCAATCTATTTCTTGATTTCTTCATTTATTTATTTTTATTTGTATAGTTATAATTGTCCACAAAAGTAGTCGAGGATCATAAACAGCTTGTTGTAATCCAGGCTCATACAATAGGAAATGCTGATGGAAGCATTTCTTAATCCTTTGTTGGATGACATGCTATTTAACATTGTTAGTACAATATTCAAGAGCTGGTCTTGACCTTCATGCCTTCCTCTTTCTCTTGTTATATTGTTGTATTCAATCCAATGTTGTCAACCATCCAGGGTCACTTAGATGAGATGGGTGGTGTAGAAATTTAATTTTAAAAAATGATCTTGATCTTCTGCTTTAATTGAAACACAGGTGAGATTGTGCAGAATTGGGACTTGTTTGTGTGAAATTTGTAGAATTATAGAGTTGGAATGTATCTAGAGGTCATCTGGTCCAGCCTTCTGCTCAGTGCAGGATCCATCAGAGAATCTTTGAGAGATGCCCATGCAACTTCAGTTGAAAATCTCTTTTTTTGTGGCATTCTGTTCTTCTGGCTGACAGCTCATTTGCAGCCTGTATAAATTTGGGGATGGCATTGTCATCTATTTGAGTTGTATGGTCTGCCCAAGTCCTTTGCAAAATTTTTCTTCTTGCTTCATGGAGCAGAAATTCGGTGAAGTCAGCATTTTCCTCTCCTCCCTTTCCTTCTCGCCTGTCCACTGCAGTCCTCTAAAGCAGCTTCATTCTCTGTCATGTCGTAATACAAAAATAAAGTAGCATGCCAGTGAACATTGTTCTATATAAAAGTATCACAAAACAAACAATCCTACTTTTGTGGACAATTATAACTATACAAATAAAAATAAATAAATGAAGAAATCAAGAAATAGATTGGATTGTCCATACTTTCAAAATCCTTAGCATACTCCCCAGTCTTGTTCTTGAACTCTGGGAATTTCCTGGTTTTTGTTCCCTTGGCTTCCCAATTGGATAATTTATTCTGGCTCTATTGTACTTCCTTTGCAGTTCCAACCCCAGATAGTCCTGGTCGCTGCTGGTTTTGATGCTGTAATTGGTGACCCTAAGGTAAGGTTTTGGGTTTTTTTTGCTCCCTCCAGAACGTTTCTCAGCAATTTTGAGATGTTACAATCTATTTTCTTCCTGGTACCCTAAATTAAAGTCACAATTACATTCTGGAGCAGGGATAGGCAACCTTTTGGGAACCAGGGACTGTGGAGATCTAGGGTAAAGAAATAGACTAGGCAAGAAGTAAGAAAATACTAACGTTAATTGAAATTCAATAAAAAAATAATTCAGTCATTTATTTGATTATTCTTTGTGTTTTTAATAAATTCCCCTTCGTCAGATTAAAATTGCAATTCAGTGGCAACTTCATACACCTGCCACAATTTACGTATTTGCATCAGGCGTCAGGAGGCAAGTACAGGAAATCCTCGACTTACAACAACTCATTTAATGACCGTTCGAACTTACGCCGACACTGAAAAACTGACATGACCGTTTTTCACACCATTACGACCGTTGCCGCATCCCCAGAGTCACGTGATCAAAATGCAGGTGTTTGGCAACTGACTCATATTACGACAGTTGCCTTGTCGCAGGGTCATGTGAGCCCCTTTTGTGACCTCCTGACAAAGCAAAGTCAATGGGAAAACCAGGTTCACTTAACAACTGTGTTACTAACTTAACAACTGCAGTGATTCACTTAACAACTGTGGCAAGAAAGGTTGTAAAATAGGACAAAACTCACTTAGCTGCCTTCTTGATAAACATGCTTGACCAATTCTGCAAGAAAAAGAAAGAATGATTAATAGCTAATATTTTTGGAAGTGGGGGGGTTGACAATGTTTAATCCCCTGTCCTGCTTGTAAGACCTCCAGGTTGTTGTAAGAGAAGTAAAAACAAGGTTGTACAACTAATCATGCCTTTAACTTTATGTATGGTAAGGTAATTGATGGTAGCTTTGATGAATAATTCAGTGAAGTAGATGATTAAGCTGGCTGCCCACCTTAGACCATCCCTGAAGCCACAGGTGGTTTACTGAGAACGAGGGCTGGACTTACCTGACTTAGAAAGAGGACTTTGAAGTGTGGGACTGCCGGTGGCAAGGACAGATCTAAGATATTTCTCTGTAGCCCTAGAGCTTCAATTAGTCAATGCAGAAACAGCTCCACCAACCTTGAGGAACAAGGACTTTTACATTCCCATTTCTCTTGTCACAGCCTTAGAGATGCTTCCGGGAGACTGCTGCAATAGAAATAATCTGTCTGATAATGCCTCGGTTTTTTCCCCCCATTTAATTTAATGTATCCCCTCCCTAGGGACGCGGTGGCTCAGTGGCTAAGACGCTGAGCTTGTCGATCGAAAGGTCGGCAGTTCAGCGGTTCGAATCCCTAGTGCCGCCTAATGGGGTGAGCTCCCGTTACTTGTCCCAGCTTCTGCCAACCTAGCAGTTCTAAAGCACATTAAAATTGCAAGTAGAAAAATAGGGACCACCTTTGGTGAGAAGGTAACAGTGTTCCATGCGCAGTCATGCTGGCCACATGACCACGGAGACATCTTTGGACAGTGCTGGCTCTTCGGCTTTGAAACGGAGATGACCACCGCCCCCTAGAGTCAGGAATGACTAGCACATATGTGCGAGGGAAACCTTTGCCTTTACCTTATCCCCTCTCTGATTCATGCCTTGCTCCTTTTTCCAAGAGTGACTCAGGAGAGTGAAATTGATCAATCTTTGCCCGTTCTAGGGGGAGATGGCTGCCACTCCAGCATGCTTTGCTCACCTGACACACCTGTTAAAGTCACTGGCTGGAGGCAAGCTGGTTTTATCTCTGGAGGTGGGTGACTTTCCGCTTTTGGACTGGGGATAGGGTTGGGCTGTCTCTTAAGGAAGCCACCTAGCTCCTCTCCTTTCACTATCACAGGGTGGGTACAATCTCCAGTCTTTGGCTGAGGGAACCTGCATGGCCCTTAAGACTCTTCTAGGAGATCCCTGTCCGCTGATGGAATCACCTTTCCTCCCATGTAGCAGGTAAAAATGATATTGAACCACAGCTCCCTGCTGCCGGATGCTTTTATAATCAACGTGTTGGATCAAATCCAACCCTCTCTCCTCTGAGCAGAAGTCTGATTAAAGCATCTTCTTTTCCTCCCGTCAGTGCTCTCAGCTCAGTGTCTCAGACCATTGCAATTCATAGCAAGTATTGGAAGAACCTACGGAGGATCAGTGAGTGAATGTAGCTCTCTTTTTCCCATTCCTCAAAAGCAAGTAGTCTGGGGGGTGGGGGAGGCATCTTTACTCTCAATTCTTTTCCACTCTGATTGACTGTCAGATAATCGGGACTGCTTAGGACACTCACGGGATCTTTCTCTGCCTCTTCCACACAATTCAGGTGCTGATGTGCCCCAGGAGGATGGCAAGCTCAGCGTAGCTTGGCCACCAGCCAGCCCTCTCTCTGTAGCCGATCCCCTCTCCAGGTCAGCGGCTGAACTGATACAGCCTCAGCCCCCTTCTTGCACGGGGCTAGTCTACGATGAGAAGATGATGGAGCATTACAATATGTGGGACAGGTAAGAATTTCAGGTATCGTTTAGGTTTGTTGAATGTTTCCATCCCCTCTCTATGTATAATGCATACATGTGGTTTTGCTTCAGCTAGTGTAGTAGAATAAAATACAACCCCATGAATCAGCTGGTAAAGAGAAAGTTTTTGAACACACCTAAGCACCAGTTCCCCACTAAGTCACCATAGCTGATAACCCTGCTTTTGACTTGAGTTTCTTTCAAGGGAACATCTAATTATTTTTGGAAACACAGACTTTAAGGGCTATGCTTTTCTAAGATATTCACCAAAAACCAAAAAGATCAAATGATATTATCAAATGATTCAGCCACATGGCCTCCAAGCAGATTTGAAATCTAGTGTGACTCTGTCCTTGGAAGAGCAGAGGATTCCCCCATATAAAAATGTTCCTTAGGAATTGTGACTTTCTGTCATTCTTCGTTTCTTACCTTTCTTTCGTAGCCAACATCCAGAGCTGCCTCAGAGAGTATCCAGGATCTTCCAGCGCCACAGGGAGCTGCATCTGACAGAAAGGTGCTACCGGCTCCCAGCCCGTCTTGCCTCTGAAGAAGAGCTACAAATGTGCCACAGGTTCCGATGAGTTCCATTCCAACAGCCTTTTCAACAACAAGGAGAGGAGTGGGAGATCTCACAAAGCAGGGTTGGGAGTGGTGCCCATTGATGATGCCTGAAGCTTCACTTCCTCCTCCTCCTTCTTCCTTCCTCTTCCTCTTCTTCCTTCCTCTTCCTCTTCTTTCTTCCTCGTCCTCCTCGTCCTCCTCCTCCTTCTTCCTCCTCCTCCTCCTCCTCCTCCTCCTCCTCCTCCTCCTCCTCCTCCTTCTTCTTCTTCTTCTTCTTCTTTTAAATATAAAGAAGGAGTGTAGTCCACATTACAGTGTTCTCCAGTCAGATGCCCTCTAGAGGCATTGGGTTTTAGCTCCACAACTAGACCTGCTAACAGACTTTTAGGGGTTGAAGCCCAACCTGTTTAACCTGCATCCAGTTGAGAAAGGCTGCTTCATTGCCACTTCTCCTCCTCCTCTCTGCAGCCTGCCTTATGTGGAGACATTGAAGTCCACAGCCACCATGAAACCCCGTGACCTGCATCGCCAGGGTGACCAGTACAATTCTGTCTACATCTGTGCCAGCTCCTATGAGTGTGCCCGGCTGGCGGCCGGATCCGCATTCAGTGCAGTAGAGGCTGTGCTGTCTGGGAAGGTAAATGCCAGGGCAGAGAGTGAGCAGCAATTAATTCAGTCAATCTGCTGCAAATGATATCTTTTTATCCAATTGCTTTCCTAAGGCCTTTGAACAGGCCCGCCTCTAGCAAGTGGCATGTTCTGTAGATCTCTTTTTTAGCTTCTCAGAAATTCTCTGCACAGGTCCCATTGCTCTCCTGAATTTTCAGTACAGCACCACTGATCTCCTATTGTTTCTTTTTCTGGGTCCTTAGACTCATAATGCTGTGGCTATTGTCCGCCCGCCTGGACACCATGCAGAATCAGATACTGCCTGTGGCTTCTGCTTCTTCAATTCGGTGGCTTTGGCAGCACGCTATGCCCAGCGCCTGGCCCAGAGGCGGTTGAGGTGAATATACTCAATAAGAACATGACAGGTTTTTTTGACTAATTAAAGCAGATTTAGTCCTTTAATTTTCTTCCCCAAGAGGTCTCCTGGGAGTGGGGATTGTAATTCTGGGAGCTCCATAACAGTTAACATATATTTTAACTGAACTGAACCAGCGAGTTTGATTTACTGATCTAATTTTGGTTTTATTTCTCAGGGTTATGATACTAGACTGGGATGTTCACCATGGCAATGGAACACAGCACATATTTGAAGATGATCCCAGGTGCTGTCTATAATTTCTCCCCATTTGAAGAAATAGTGATGTTATACCGTATATAGACTAGGGAATCAGGGTTCTTTTTTCCTGTCTATAATTCTCCCCATTTGAAGAAATAGTGATGTTATACCGTATATAGACTAGGGAATCAGGGTTCTTTTTTCCTGCCCAGCTAGAGGTCACTGTTAAGGATCAGTTTTTACCAAAGGGGGACATTTTAAAATATTCTGCAGTAACACTCCTTCCCGCTCACCCCTGTTTCATAATCAAAATGTTTCCTTTTTTTGAGATATGAAATAATTCAAGTATATTAAAACAGGGAAGGGAAATTGGACCCTGAAACCAATTTCTCCCTATGCTCAAACTAAAATAAAGGTTAAAATTAAACACGCTTGTGGTGCTTGCATTAATTTTGATGCATGCTCAGACTGAAAAGAGACTCCTCATCGTTTTTGAGTTTTAAATACATGTAGAATTGTTTGGCTGAAAAAGCCTCCATCCTTCCTTATAAAATTCCAGAAATATAGCCATACCATGATGGCATGTCTCCAAACAGGAATAGAGGGTTAAATTGCAAAAATTTGACAAGGGTTTCTAGCGCCCTATTATCAAATAAAAAGGATCTTCTGATCTTCTGGCTTTTAACTTTGGCAGTTGAAATAAAGATAACTTTGGGGAGGAAACTAGTAATAGATTTCTGTATGGAAAGGCTATACGTTCAATTCTCCTGTTAACATAAAAATCTGGTCTGTGATTGTGTTCACAAGACATACCTAGCAAGAGAAGTAGTGTCTCATCTGAAGATCAGTTAGTGCTGTGTTAGAACAATTTAGTTTAATTCCCAAACTGTCTCTCTATTGTTTCTCCCTGCCATATGTACAATCCAAAATAGTTAACCCTTTTTTTTTTTCATTGCTAGCAGAGAGTAGCTGGGCCCTTCTAGGACTTATCTTTCTTCTTCCCCCCTCCCTGGTTGCCACTGCAGTATCTAGAAGGCCATCAAAAATGGCAGCTCTCTGACTAAGGATCTGGGATAACCAGCTGCTGGAACAAAAAGATAACATCCGATATCAGCTTTGTTGTGATCATAGGCAGCAAATACTCAAGAGATGTTCTTCTCTTTAAGATAGATAAATAGGTAGATAGATGGATGGATGGATGGACGGAGGGAGATAGATAGATAGATAGATAGATAGATAGATAGATAGATAGATACAGTAGATGATAGATAGATAGATAGATAGATAGATAGATAGATAGATAGATAGATGATAGATAGATAGATAGATAGATGATAGATAGATAGATAGATAGATAGATAGATAGATAGATAGATAGATGTAGGTAGGTAGGTAGGTAGGTAGGTAGGTAGGTAGA